CAAGTTTGACCGCTCATGTATTGAAATTTTATACGATTTTGACATTTTTGTAATTAAATATACTTATGATTAAACATAGAAATATTGGTTCTTATTAGATTTATATTAATTAATTTTTAAATTTTAATCTTTGCTTAGTAAAGTTATTGATGGCAAAGCAATGTACTCGTACTCTCCGTCTCGTAGTATTGAAAAATATGCTAAGTCAATAGGACACAATAAAATAATAATAATAATAATAATAATAATAATAATAATAATAATAATAATAAATAAATAAATACAAAGAGGAAGTGTAAGAAAAAAAAGTTGACAATAAAGTCAAACAATCCATTTACTACAATCGTCAGCCTTGAGTGAGCTCCTTACTTTTCTTTATGTTTCCACTCCATATTTTTAAAAAACGGTTTAATGTAAATAACATCAGCCACTTCCCTCAAAAGGAAAGCTAAATAAAATACAATATAATTAGATAGATTATCTCTTGGTAAACTTAAAATAAAATTAGATAGATATTGAGAATAATAAAATAATAATATAGTTTTAAGATTAGGATTTGTTCCTTTACATTGGAACTTAGCAGGCCACGCTACACTTCTAATCGAAGATAATGTTGGATTATTCATGGTCCCACTTCACATTAACCCAAGTACAATGTGCACCGCCTCTTGTATTATGGTCACATAAAACTTTTTATTAGTAGCTTTCTTTCTTAAATTCTTAATGTAATTATCACTATTTCTATTCGAACTTATCTATACAAATCTTATCAATTACTGTTCCCTGTGTTCGAAATTACAAAAAGCAAGGCATGTAAGAAATACATTAGTTTTAGATTTTATCAATCAGTTTTTTTTTTTAAGTGGGGTAGTTTAATTATTAAAAATTTGTGAGAAAGATGTTAAATTTTGTAATTTTTGAAAGAAGCAATGCATGTAAGAGGAGAAATAATTGGCATTGTTTGGTAAAGAGTTTTTCAAAGAGCTTTTAGCTTATTTTGTGTAATTAGAGGTTTGACCAATTATAAAAGCTAATGTGGGTGTTTGGTAAATAGCTTAGTAAAAAAGCTTTTTTCGCTCAAAAAACTCATTACAAGAGATTTTTAAAATTAGCTTATTGAACAATTAGCTTTTTGGTTCTTAAATACAAACAGTTAACAATTAACAACTATTTACCAAATCCTTTTACACAATCAGCTAATTATAACCAGCTAGTCAAATCAGCTAATACAATAAACTATATTAATCAGCTACCAGCTAATTACCAAATAGGGCCAATATGATATACATAAGCTATATAGAGTTTATTTAAAAGTAAAGATCACATCAAGAAAAGATATAACATTAAATAAACTTATGTTGCATATAAAAGTGTAACATTTAAAAAAAAAAATGGTCAATTAAGTTAAGGGTAATACTTTTTTAAAAAAAGGAGTATAAATAGGATGTGTTACATGACACTCATATTTTATTTACCAACGTCTAGAGCATAAAGAATAATAAAAATGATCTTCAACCCTTACTTAAACCCCAACTCAGGCCTTCTCACAGTCTCTCACCAAGGCTATCACCACCTCATCACTAAGACAACCACCACCACGGCACCACCCTAAAACTCACTTCTTTCCCATTTCGAAGGCTTTACCACAAAAAACATCATACACATGAACGACGAACAACTGTCCATAAAGTCTTTTTTTAATTTTTTTGGCAGCAACCATGGAGTCCTTGACACAACCATTGTAGTCCCCTTTAAAAAAAAAAAAAAAAAAAAAAAAACTCATATGTTGTGGAAATACTTGAATTTTTGTATTCTACCTTGGCAGAATTAAGAATTTCATATGACTTCTCTAAGGTGGAACCGAGAATTTCAAGCAATCGACAACAACTCATATAAACAAAAAAAGATACTAAGGCTCTGTTTGATAGTTATTTCTTTCTTTATTTCCTTGCAAGAAAAATTATATATATAAGTAGGGAAAAATAGGAGTGGAAGAGAAGATGGATAAGAGGAAAATGTGACATACCTTCCTTTTAGAAGGAAAACATTTTCTACCGGTGAAAAACTATTTTCCACCTTTTTTTTTTTTTTTTTTTTTTGACAATAGCAAATTATATTAATAAAATCAGAGTTTACAACATACGAAATAAAAACTAAAGCTTACTACTACATGGCTTTTAACATTTAAGCCTTTACAACGTTCGACACTAAAAATCAAAATACATAACTGGAGTTGGCCAGACAAGTTGCAAATCAAGACCTCTTTATAGGCCAAAGAGCGGATACCTACTTCAAAACATAAAGAGAGCAGAGAGTAACGAAACTGTTCGATCATGGCTAGTTCAACTTTACCTAGTGGGATCAACTTATCACCACTTAAGGCCTTCAAACCGATCACATGGACATGTGACCTTACATACATAAGTTGTTCTTGTTGACAAGAAAACTTTGACAACGTCGAGGCTCGAGAAACCCCAAAACAAAGTTTGGGCGCCTGCTTCGGATAGAAAAATTCAAGAGTAATGATCTCAATGATCACTACAATGAAGGGAGCAGAATGACAACCATAATCATTCCACCATAACACACACTTCACCTTAGCCATGGTCAACTTCTTGGTCGTCCCTCACACAACGGCAACACATGTTAACTCTCCCAACACAACAACAGAACCAAATCCCTTGACAAAGGATCCAAACTCCCTCCGCACACAACCATCCAATAAATTATAGCCAAAACAACCAGAAAAACAGGACAACAACCCAAAAAGGCTAAAATAAACCATACATAACTTTGAAAAATAAAGCAAACTTTGAATAACAAGAAGAAAATACATACTTAGGTAAGGCGACCAAACCAGAGAGCCCCTTTCGGAACCAAAATCCAAAACCATAATAGCAAAGAATTTTAAAACCCTAACTTCACCGTTTCCGTCACGAACCACTCCTGACGGCGGCGTTAGGCCTAGCCCTCCAGCGCAAGGACCCATGAAACCCTAACCCTAACTTTACCGTTTCCGTCACGGTCAAAATTACCAATGACCTTTATGACGGCAGCGTTAGGCTTAGTCCTTAGACCTCTTGTTTCGCCGGCGAAATCCTTTGACTATGAACCTCCCTCTCAAAGGTGGGTAACAAGGGGCTTCTCTAAATCGTCTTAGTTGTGGAAAAGGTCACAACAACACCTTCAAGACTGAAATTAAAAGGGGTTAAGAGAAAATAAGAGGGTGACGCCTCAGAATCTGAGGTCGTCTTAGAGCAGATCGAGAAGGGGAAAGAAGATGGGAGAAGAGAAGAAAGAGAAGAGGAGGAGGGGGAGTCTTGAGTCTTGCCGGCGATCTTCACCAACTAGAAGAAAGGGAAGCAGAGGAGGGCAGGGACTTGCCGGTTTACAAGAAGCGAAAGGGCGGAGACTCGCCGGTTTACAAGAAGCGAAAAAGGAGGAAACCTCGTCGGAGAAACGGCTGCGGTGCCGGATCTCCGGCAAGCACCTAGGTTTCCGGCAGAAGTTTTTCTTTGGAGGAGGAGAGAGAACAGAGAGTTTATTTTGTGGTAAACTTTGGGCGTACTTACTAAATTATTTTCCACCTTTACAAACCAAGGATTATAATGTTTTCTAATCAAAACAAACAAAGCCTAAGTCACACAATCACCTTAAGCCATGGTGGAAGAACATCCAAAATTCGACTTTTGTTATTGGCCAACTGAAATACTACCTACATCCCATAAAATATAGATCACATTTCTATTTTCCAAGTTAAACTTTATAAATTTTGAGCAAAAATTATCATCAATATAATGTAATTTAAAAAAAATAAAATTATTTTACCTTTCGATCCCGTTAGATTCATTTTAGAATAATGTTATATGTAACCTTAATGGCTAAGAATAAACATTAAATATCTTTCTAATTTGTTCGTTATTAATTTAGCAATGTATGACAAAATCACGTGCAAATCAGTGTAATTAATGTTATATATTTATTTTATTTTTTTTCCCCCTACATTTTTAGTTTCTTATATGTAGCCTTAACGCTCTTAAGAGATATGTATAGCACTTTCCTTCATTTTAAAATATAATATTATATCTATTTCTTTTAATACAGAGTTCTTTGATTTATTAAAACATAATTAAGATATTATTAATGGTAAAAAAATGTGTTTTACATTCATTCCCTAAAAAAGTTCACAAATTCTTATATGTGGTTGTTCATACCGTGTGACCAACTATCATAGGGTTACTTCGTTAGTGTAATAGGGGTTATTTGATTAGTGTTAAAGGGGTTATTTCGTCATTGTTATAGGGTTACTCGCTCAGTGTTAAAAGAATTACTTTGTTAGTGTTATAAGGTTATTCGGTGAGTGTTATAGGAGTTATTTTGTCATTTTATAAGTGGCCACATACAAGACGAGCCGAAAAAAGTTACAATATCATGGGACAGAAAGTACAACTTCACATTTGACTCCACTTGATTAAAACTAACGTCTCTCATTAACCATACTTAATTAAAGATTAGCAATTAACAAGGAAAAAATTGACTTCAAGGTAGATTGGAGACAGAGTGAGTAGCATAATAATTCTCTATCAAATTCTATCCATCACCTCAAAAAGTTGATACCTATTATTAGGCGGTGGTTGATTTGAATGAGCAAATAGAAAAATTGTTTATAAAGTGAGTAATAAAATATAATTATTCATAGATACATTATAAAATAAGCAATCCGAATCCACCTTAAACTTTGTTTATTATCCGCTTTCTGTTTCCTCCGACCAGACACTTGAAATTCTAACATCAAATTATCACCATTTTCTCTCTCCTCGAACAATTAACAATTAACACCTAATTAAATGAGATTAGCATTGTTAATTAATTAATTTAATTAAAATTATTAATTAATCACTCTCTTGAGAACATATATCTTAGAACGAGGGATCATCCAATCATATTGTAAATTTGTGAGTAATCATGTAAATAATCTATCTAATCAATGATTAAAATAATTAAACAATAGAAAATGCTTAATTAATTAATTAGAACTAATTAGAATTAAATTCCCTCTTGATTGAACTCATTAACAACAAAGTCACCCCCTTACCACTATTAATCAACAAAATAAATCTAGTAAAAGCAAAAATTAAAAAAATACTAAAAATGAAAAAGAAAAAAAAAAAAAAAAAGTGGGTAAGGGTGAGATAGGGGAAATCTTCACCTCTCTTCTCTAATTCTCTTTACTCTTCTTCTTGAAGAATCTAATTAAGGACTAATTAAACAAAAACATGTTTATTAAAACAAAGATAGATATAATTATAATTAAGAAGAAGACGAAGAACCATTAGTAGGAGCATTACTCTCATTGCTCTTCCCACCATTATATTGATGTTTGTGGTGGTTGTGATGATGGTGAGACTGATCGTTGATACTAATGCTGCTATTACTGTTTCCATTTCCGGTCAAATTACCGTTTATCTCGTCATCGTCATTCGGATTATTAATCAGATCGTCAGTTGGATTAGTAGCAACAACCCCAGAAGTGGTAGTAGCAGTAGTAGAACGCTTAGCAAAAGTGTTTTTGTTATTGTGCATCCAAACTTTGAAAACCCCTCTTTCAACACCAATTTCATTGCAAAACCCATTCACTAAATCTTCGTTAGTTTTCTGCATTTTCCACCCTACTTTTTCGGCGAATTCGTGCATTCGGTCCTTTTGATTTTGGCTGAATTTAGTTCGGAACCGCTTTCGGCTTGCCGGTTGTGAAGAGGATGAGTTCATCAGATGCTGAGTTTGATTGTGGTTGTGGTTGTGGTTGTGGTTGTGGTGGGGGTGGTGCGGCTGGTGAGGGTGGTGGTTGTGGTGTGGGTGATGCGGGCCGTTGTTGGTTGTTGGAGTGTTGTTATCTGGGAGTACACCAGTAGTAGCACCCACACCACCACTGCTGAGAGCCAGCAGCATGTGGGGTGCGGAGCCCGGGTAGTAAGATGACGAGATCGGAGGAGGAGACTGAGACCCCGGGCTCCGCACACCACGAGTTGCCACCGCCGGTGCTGTCTGGGGATTCGAGGCCGGCGGTGGCAACGGATGGTGCCGGTGATGTGGGTGATACTCAATCACATGAGTTACTGGTGTGGTTGCATTCACAGTCTCCTCTGGCTCCCGCCGATGGAAATTACGGTGACACCCACACGCTGCGCACTTCAACGATGTCGGGTCCGAAGCAGTCGCGGTTGGAGCCGGCATAAACTCCCCACACCCATCAAGCGCGTGACCACCCAAACTCGCCGCATGATTCTTCAAACACTCTTTATACAACACAATAGCAGGCGCGTGACGCTTCAACACTCCGTTACTGAATGATAAAGGCTTAGAAGATTGGATCCGAGGCGGTGTTTCGCTTTCGGCTTCCGGGCTTTTGGAAGGCGGAACTATACTCAAACCCCCAACACCACCACCACCCACCACCGCTGCCACCGTCGTCGCCGCCGCAATTGTAGCTCTCGCAGTAGTCATATCCATTTTTCCTCGAATTATCAATTCTTTTTCAAGAAAACCCAAACATTTTTTTTTTGTTTTTTGCTTTACTCCCTTCACTCTAAACACCTTTGCTTTAATCTCAAGAATTTCAATTCCTTCAAAAATATGGAAAATGATTAGCCCACAAAAACACACGGTTGGTGCTAACTTTATTAGTATTTTAATCCATGAAAGATATGTTTAAGCTAAAAAACTAGTGCTTAAAATAGAAAACTACAAAAATTTTGGTTATAAAATAGTTGATTATTTCTTATTTCTTTGATGTAATGATGATTAAGAAGATAATGATGATGGTGGATGAAGAGGTAAGTAGAAAAAGAAAAGAGTGATAGAAGTGAGTATTTGAGTATGAAAATGAGTATAATGATAAATTGATAATCATTATAATTAAAAAAAAAATCTTATTGGTTTTATGTCGACTATGTGGTTGTCCTTACTAACCACATAATATGATTAAAATTTAACCATAGTTTATATTATGTAAAATTATGATGACAAAACCTTTAACTTGGGTTAAGATTTATTACGCATACTTTTGGTTGTCTCCTCCAATAAATGTAATAGCCCTAAAAAAAAGAAAATCCATTATTTTAGACTCGGTTGAGTTAAGGACAAAAAAGGGAGTTTGACTCGTGAGTTAACTCGGGGGAGTTATGTAATGAAAAATGAGATGGGGGTATTGCTTTTGTCAGTTTTATTGCAGTAAGAAGAGGTAAAAACAGACTATGGCAGGTGGTATTGGCAGTCTGGGTTATTTACTGTTTCGCATCTTAATTTGTCAATGTTACAGTGGGACCATACCGAAAACACTTTTTAACAGTTTTCTTTAAAATTTAATTGAAATTCAACGTCATTTATTAATAATATACGGAGTAAATATAGTCTTCATTTCAATAATGTCTATGTATAAACTATAAAGTCAAGTGAATTAGCAAAATTGTTTCATACCGTCATACGGGGTACTACTCAAATTACTCCTTTTGGTTTTTTTTTTTTCTTAAATGTTGCTTCCTCCATTTCAATAATATTGCAACAATTGGACTTTTGCACTATTTATTAGATTTGTTTGACTACAAATTATTATTTATACGTAAAGTAAAATATAGTTAGTGGGGTCTTGTTAGATTCGTCTCGTAAAATACTTTCACAATATTAACTTTTTATAATTTATACTCTCATATAATTATATATATTTAACATATAAAATGTTATTTGAGATACGTAATTTCATCCTTGTTGCAATATTTGTGGAACAAAAAAAGTATATTTTAATTTTAACTAACAAATATGTTAATACTCCTTTCGTTTTTATTTAAACGTCTCTTAATGTTTATATTATTTACTTACATACACTGCTTTATTAAAGTATACTTTGAGATGCATATAACAGTATCTCCCTCCGTATTTTATTACTTGCTCCATTTGCACTATACATTTGACCTACTTTGACTAATATTTGTGATTTATACATAAGAAAAAATAGTCTTGTGAGTACTTGTTGGAATCGTCTCAATAAATATATTATTAATTTTCAATTGTTATAATTTATACTTATTGATAATTAAAGATGTTACTAAGCAAATATTTGCATTGGCACGCTTGCCTAGGATAAATAGAGCAAGTAATAAAAATACGGAGGGAGTACAAAGTACAAAGTATTATGTATAAAACAATTACATAGGCAAAAAAAGGAGTAAAGACCAAATACGATCCCTAAACTTTTGTATTTGTGCACTTTTAGTCCCTCAAGGACCTAAACCATCCAAATGGCGTTTGTTGACCAAATAGTTTAGGGACTAATTATAGTCAGCAATAGTTTAGGACCTTAATTTATTATTTGTCAGTTTCCTTTTTTTTCGATAGCATAGTTTTTTTCATCAGCATTAATTAAAAAAAACTAAAGTAATAAAAAAGCAATACTTTTCTTTAAACAACCCCCCGCAAAAAAAAAAAAAAAAAATTAAAAATAACAAAAAACTCACCTGTTCATACTTCGAAAATAAAATAATAAAAAAATTTAAACTAAAGTAAAAGCATTAATTTAATGCTTTCCTCCTCCTTATGCTTATTCCTCTGTTCTTCTCACTAATTCTAATTCAACAACAAAAACCCAGAAAGTCCAAAATACCGAGAAATCATGAATTAAACCAAGAAAAAAAATTCCTCATTCTTCAATTATTTAATTCACCCAAAAAAATTCTTCGGAAAAAAAATGAACAATGGTAAGAAAATCAAGGGAAAACATCTTCCTAATTATCCTCGTCATTATCACCTTCTTCGCCATTTTCTAGCTCTCATCATATCTATTGTTTCGCCAATCAATCTCTTTCTCTCTCCTCCACTTGCTTCTGTCGCCGTCATTCCCTCGATTTTCTCTCTCCTCCACCACCACCACCTCATCTACCGTCGTCGAAACCTCTCCTTCCATTACAACCCTCAAAAGTTTGGTCAATCGAAGCATTTTAAATCCCAAATTGGGAATTCCGCCAGCAATTTCCTGCATTTACCAAGATAAATCCTCAACTCCGGTCAAATTCAACGCATTCTTAAACTCCCTAAACTGCCATTGTTGACGCAAGCAATTGTGTGGTCATGGTGGGAGAATTCAATGGCGATTTCGGAGGGGGAAATTAGGGTTTGTTCGTTGTTTTGTTGGTGGTTGACCTTGAGTTTATTTGGGGTAGGAGCCATTGTCGGAGGAGAGGAGGGAGTTGGAAGTCATGGGAAGGGAGGAGAGAGAAAATTGGGGTGGGGGGGGGGGGGGGAGGGAAGAGGGGGAGAGAAAGAGGAAGCCATGAAAGAGATAAAGTTAAATTTTTTTTTTAAGAAATAAGAACAGGTGGATTTATTTATTTTTTGGTTTTTTTTTAAGAGAAGTATTATTTTTAATTAATGTTGATGAAAAAATCAATGCTATTGTAAAAAAAGGGAAAAGACAATTAATAAATTAAGGTCCCTAAATTATTGCCAACTAGGATTAATCCCTAAACTATTTGGTCGGATAACACAACTTGGGTGGTTGAGGGACTTAAATTGCACACTTGATAGTTGAGAGACCAAAAGTACACAAATACAAAAGTTCAGGAACCGTATGTATTTGGTCTTTACTCGCAAAAAAAAAAGGTACACGTAGATGTGAATACAAGTGGTGCAAAGGTCAAGAAAAGATATGTACAAAAACAAACAGATTTTTCACCGTACCCTTAAGGTTTAACAAAATTTACGAAATACTCATTTTTTTTTTCTTTTCAAAATTCACCAAGTACCCTTGAGGTTTGGATATAATATACCAGATACCCTTAATAATTCACATGTATTAATTCTGCTAACCTAAATAATCTACAATTAGTTAACTTTTAACTTAATTCACCTATTAACCTACATTTTATCTAACATGTTCTCTAGCAGCAATAAGAGATGCCTTGAATCAATGGTCAAAAGAGATTTAATAGTGGTCAAAGTATCTTTTAAACAGTTTTGTTTGCTTTTATAAGGCTTCTTATGACCTAGTACATAAGTAATGTTGGAGGAATTACATTTGTTTGGGTCCAATCGAGCCATCATTAAGATCGGCCCAAGTGATTCAATTACAAAAGCCCAAAAGCAAGGTTCAACCCTCCTAAAGCATGTTAAGTCAGCCAAGCCCAGTCACTATGGCAAGCCCATCTGACTTCGAGGGCCTAGTTCTCCTCTATTGAACAAAGGTATAAAAGCCATCAATTGTCCCATTTATCATTAATTCACAATTAGCCTCAAGCATAAATTTCTCTTGCATAGCTCTTTCTCTCTACACTGTACTGACTTTGGCATCGGAGGGGCCTTCCTCGGCACAACCTTCGGGGCCAATTCACGTGTGTTTGCTGTGCAGGATACCCTCGCCCAGTCATCACTTGGACCGAGATTTGTCTTCTCCCATGAAAAAGGGCCTGTTGAAGGTCCCATTGTTTTCATCCGAAACAATTTGGCGTCGTCTATGGGGAGGATACAAAAAGTTAAGCCAAAAAATCTGACCAGTCTTAGTAGAAACATGACTAAGAGTGGCAAGAGCACCAAGAGTGCTAAGAAGAATGGTCACACCTCTTCAAAGAGGAATAGAAACCTGATCACGAAGAGGGAAAATCGACCGATTTCGCCATCACCGGAGCCAGCTTCATCTTCTTCAAAAGCTCCCCATTCTCCGGAAGAGGACGCTTGGGAGGGCTCTCCATCCCACCATACTCGCCAGCCGACAAGATCCCCTAGGCCGAGTGGGTCTAACGTGAGAAGTCCTCCACCGCAAAGTCTACACTCTCCGTAACCGAAAGAAACCCCTTCGTCGGGGCAAGGGCCGTAGCGGTCTGTATGGAGTTCCTTAAGGCCCAAGGAGGTCAACTCCCACTAACACCCCACGAGTCTTCACCTCTTCAGCCGAGACACCTGAGAAGGAGAATCGGTCAAGAGGAAGATGGACAAGTTCCATCCTACAAGGAGCTCGGGGACAAGTGGCAAGAGGACACTTGGAGGACCGAGAGGGAAAGGAAAAGGAACCCTCAATTCTTTCACCATGCCGAAACTCAGGACTCCATGAGTTTCCGGAGCAGCAATACCACCTTTATGGGTAAAGAGTCTGCTCGCCGAAGCGTCCATGAACGCTTAGGCTCCAGAGAGGTAGACGTGCGTAGCCGTCTCCTTCCTAGAAGGAACCGGGCTGTACCCCGAATTGTCTCGGCCAGGGACGAAAACCACTTCTACCTCTTTTAGAGGGAGAAGTGAGGTCCCTTCGGCCAAACAAAAAGGGAAGGTCGTGATGGTCCCTACAACCTCGCCCTTCCAAAGTTGGATATTGGAAGAGCATGTGCCGACGGTGAAAATACCGGCGCACATTACTTACGATGGTACCTCAGACCCAAAGGATCACATTGCCTCTTGCGAGGGGCACATGTATCTTAACCCCAGGTCCGAGGCTACCTGGTGTAAATATTTCCCAACAACCCTCAAAGGTGTTGCACAATCGTGGATCACCAAGGGGGTGAAAGAAGGCTCTATATCCGGTTGGAAAGACCTTTCCAACAAATTCAAGAGCAAGTTTTCTACGGAAAATCGCCGGGAGAATACAATTACAAAATTGATGAGTTTGCAGCAAGCGGAGGATAAAAGCCTCCGAGACTACTTGACTCGCTTCAGCAACGAGTCATCCAGAATTACGAGACTGGACTAGGGCCACAAAAAAAAATGAGAATAGGGAACACTTAAGATTGCAACACTTACAGAAATGATACTCTTAGTAATCTAAAGCAACAATATTTATTTGTTACCTGAACTAAAGTAACAGATAAAAAAGTGTTGCTCTAGAATATATAAGGCTACAGTCGCTTAAAGTGTTACCTTTTTCTAGTCTAAGAC